CTTGTAGTGAATATTTTTGAAAACTAAATGCTTGATTTAATATTTTTTTAACATAAATCATTTACATTAACTTTTAAGTTGATCTAACATGTATGTTTATTCAATCAAAAAAACTTGTATAATCTAATATATATTTAATGATAACAGGTTTTTTTTATAAGTAATGAACTAATTATATATATTTAATCAATATGAAAATATTTATGCATAATTTATATGATTAGAAAACTAAATTTAATGGTTGATTTTTAAAAATAATCCTGGAAGATGGTATTTTTGAAGCTGTTGCTCTAATTTTTTTTTAGAAATCTAAATTGATACACAATATTTGTTTTTGTGAAATATTCCCTCATCTCAAAATAATTGTCTTTTTTTTACTCTTTTTCCCAAATTCATATATTTGCCTATATTACTCTTTAAAAAAGTTAAAAACAAAGAAATATTTTTGTAATAAGATAGTTAATTAAAATAAATGAATAATGTAAGGTTGAAACAAGAACAAAAATTATTTACCTTAAAAAATAAAAAAATAATAATTAATTTGAGACAAATTTAAAATCAATAAATAAAAATTATTTTGAGATAGAGAGAGTTTTTAATTCTAACTCAAGGTGCAAAATGATGCCTAACCAAAATAATAACATATGTAGTACTTTCTTTACTTTAGAATAGTATATTTTTTTAAATTTCTTATTCAGGCTAAAGATTTGAGAATAACTAACATTTTTACTAAGGAAAATGATATATATGCCCTACAAAATTACATATTTCATTACATACTAATAGCCTTCGTTATTATCCGTTACACACTTCTTTCATAACTCCCCAAATGCATCCAACCCTTTCTTTCTTTCTCTCCTTTCCTTTCTCCCTCTCATTATTCTGGCCTTAGACACATAAAACAAGTCTATTTTTGGGATGATATAGCAAAAAGTGGAGTGCATGTGAGTGGAGCCAATCAGCAGAAAAGGGAAAAGAAAATAGGGAAAATTTATGTAGATTTGGTACAATGTGTAGCTTTTGCCATTTTGTCTAATCTGTAAAAGTTCATGGTTGGATTGACCTGAAATTTTGTTTAGGTGTTCAAGAGACATTGATCCACATTTTGAATGATTAGTTTTTTGTTTGGAGTTTTGTAGGTACTGATTTTATACCTAGAACAATAGCTTGTTTTTTGTGATATGTTTTTCTATGGTTTTAATATTGTGTGTAACTTTGCCATCCTGTCCAATTTGCAAAAGTTTACCATTGGATTGACCTAAAATCTTGTTTGGATGTTTAAGAGATATTGATCTACACTCTGAACAATTAGTTTTTTGTTTGAAGTTTTGTAGTACCCAGAACAATAACTTTGTTTTTTGTTATATTTTTTTTACAGTTTTGGTACTGTACACAACTTTGCCATTTTGTTCAATCTGTAAAAGTTCACGATTGCATTGAGCTGAAATTTCGTTTAGATGTTCAAAAAACATTGATTTATATTCTGAACAATCAATTTTTCATTTAGAGTTTTGTAGGTTCTAATTTTATGTCTAAAATAATAGCTCATTTTTGGTGAATTGTTAATTTGTGATGGATTAAGTAACAAAGACCATCAATGTATAACGAAATATATCATGGAGTAGGGTGTATGTATCAATGTCATTTTATTTATATTACTTTAAAAAAAATAAAAATAAAGAGAAATTTTTTTACTAGAATGAATACTTAAATTAAAGTCAAGGATAATAATAATGTTAAAATAAAAAATATTTATTTATCTTAAAATATGAAAAACTAAAAATTAATCGGGTAAAAATTTAAAATTAAAACCGCCTATTATTAAGTGACGAAGGGATTAAACCTCATTGCAACTTCTCTTGAAATTCTAGTCGCCATAAAAGTTGAAGTATTTTTCTCTCACATTATTGCACCTTATTATCGTGTTGGCGTAATAAGGATGATTGACTTTTATAGTTGGATAAATAACAATGAGAAAAGGAGCAACTAAATATGTTAATTTTGTTTTTTTTTTTTTTAAAATTTTAATTTTGTTTATTTTTTAATAAAAATATTATTTTTAAATTTTTTTAATTTTTATTTAAGAATATTAATTTTTAATTTTTTATTATTTAAAGATGTTAATATTTTTTTAAAAGTCCAGTTAGTAGGTCAACATTGCTATTTAATTAATTTTTAAATAAAAAAATTAAAAATTAATATTTTTATTTAAAAATAAATAAAATTAACATTCTTAAATAATAAAGTATAAAATTGACAGTTTTGTTTACACATTTTCTCCAATAACAACCATTCCAATTTTTTTCTCTTATTTCCTTTCACAAATTTGGCTGATCCCCCAAATTTGCCCAAAATAGGAGGACATGAATAGATATGTCTCTTAAAAAAACTAGGGATAAATTATTCTTTTAAATTATTAATCAAAACAAATTACTCATTACTTAACTTATGATGTTATCACATATCAAACATTTGTTTGCTATCTAAACTTATGATGTTATCACATATCAAACATCTGTTTGCTATCTAAGCATATTTTTAACAAAAAATTAACATTATACATTAAATAATAAATAATTTATCTTAATTAATGATCTAAGGAAGTAATTTATCCCTATTTCCTTTTAAAAAACGAATATGTTCCTATCTATCTATTTAGGGGTTTGGCCCACGAATTTAAGAATTGGACTAATAAGAGCTTGAAAAACTTAACTTTTTTTTTTTTTTTTGAATTAGCAAAATAAAATTTATTGAATACAAATATAAGGAGTATTCAACTCTAATACAACAAAAATTACAATAATCAACTGACTGACAAACTTAACCACACATTCTTTCAAAATAGGCTCTAAACACAGTCTTACAAAAGAAGGCCACCTCCCATAAGAAAGAGTTCAAAACAGACATGCTTACAGCTACTAACAGACACAAAACTCAGGATCAACTAATTTAAAATTCTTAATTTGGGATTAATTAATCTCTTGCGTTTTAAAGGAGCTAACTTCTAATTTATTAAAAAAAAGTAATTCAAAAATTGAAAATTTAAACTCATAAATGGTTATTATAAGAAGACCATAAATATTATTATTTTACTATTTTTATAATTAATAATAAAATTATGGGTTTTTTAACTTATCCACTTAGACCATAGATTAAGAGTAATTTTTATTATAAATACACAAAGAAAATTGTAAAAACTAATATTAATTTTAGTGTCGATGATAAGTAAATGATTTAATTAGACAGTTAATAAATTTAAAAAATTAGAAGTTAATTTTTATTTTTAATATAAATTTATGATAAAAAATATATTTAATATATCCCTAACCTATACTTTTAAACAAACCCTAAAATCATAAATGTTATATTGAGTAACATTATTAATTAACCCTTTGCATGGTGGCTTGTGTTTTTAACTTAAATTGCGACAGAAAGAGAACATAAAAAAACACCCACACCCGGAATCAGAGAAGGATTGTCTCACTGAAACTAAAGTGTTTAAAACGAAATCTGTTTGTTTCCTTCTGTTTTGGGAAGAAGCAAGGAAAGCTCAACTCAACTCGTCTTATTTAATTTTATTTTTAGGATTTTTTTATTATGTACCTTTAAGATATAGAATTAGGGTATAATAAATATATTTTTTATAGTTAATTTTTATTGAAGATGTAAATGTTGAGTTGGTTTAATTAATTAACCAATTAGAGTCATTCAAAATATATATCAACTTTTATAATTTGTAATGTGAATTAATTACAAAAAATATATTTATTATACCGTTAATCTGTGTTCTTAAGATACATGTTAGACAAATCCTTATTTTTATCAAGGGTTTGTGGCATTCAAATGCACTGGGTATGCAATCAATATGCATACTCTTCTTATTTTTTCAAACTAAAAATCCTTATGCAATTTGAACTGTGCAAATTAAATTAAATCATTGAATAAGGGCATTCTCCCTAATATTGAAGGTTATCCTTCCATCTAATAATTCTCATTTTATCATATAGAGCTGCAATTTGCTCATATATAGACTCTAATAGTATGTTTGGTTTTAAAAAAA